TTTCTATCTCATTCCCACTCTCAATATTTCATTTCTGCCTCTTCGTTTCACTAATAATCTTAGTTCGCGAAGAGTCGATCATATTTTCGTTTAATTATCGATCGACTTTATTATCGATCGAAATATTACAATGATAATTTAAAATGTCTGAGATTCGGATTTAATCATGCATATTTCGATGATTACTTTGACACGTTATACAATAGATTAAAAATCTTGATGACCAGTTCCAGAGACTCATGATAGTTTTTGAAGATATGATCGTTTCTTTTTCATTTATATATACAACTCTTTTTTTATGATATCCAAGTTCTTCTTATTTATCATCATTCGCGAATATTCAGTATACATTTATTGAGTATCAATAGAAATGGGGGTTCGGTTGTAGGTTTTCTCATGTTTACGTTTTCACGTCGTATTACACGTTTCCTTTCTTCGTAATAATTTGTTTAGTTTTTTTTTAAGGTTTAGCAAACGATTAGTCACACGAAAACTTGATACGTTTCTGCTATCATTATTTTCGCACGTTTTACCCAAGATTTTGTTAAATTTATTATAAACCATAATTGAATCGAAATTAATCGAAGCGATCTAATTTTTATCAATAGCAATGTGAGGTTGACCGATTTATTAATTTTAGTCGAAATGTTATATAACAATATTATAGATAATACAATATATAATATATTTATGAGTAGCGTTACGTATTACAAGTTTTCGGAAATAATATTTCGTTAATGACGCTACTAGCTACGCTGGTAAAAAGTTTTTCGTTTTATCTGACTATTCGATAAAACGATTGGAATAATCAAAGACAATGAAAAAAGGAAAGGAATATGGTAAAGAATAACTTTATTGGTCGTAGGTATGTCTAGATAGTTACTCTGGAATGGTTAAATAATTGTATGTGCTGTTACTTGTTTGCTGCATTTTTAAGAGATAGCTATTTCAACAGTGAACTGTAAACAAATATATGTAACAGTGTAATACGATGAAAAAATTTAATGAAAAAGTTACATTGCCATCAGTTTTGCTGATTTTATCCATAAGTGAGCCTGTATAATTAATACGTTATCTTAAATGTTTCTAAGACGCTAGTTAACAGTTGTACTCTTAGTAAGACTTATTATTATACTTCATTCTTCATTTATAAATAGGATCATATCTAAGAATATCATTTGATTTATTTCACCGAAAAACAAAACAAATGTATCAAGTTTAATACATTCAAATCTCTATTTGTAAACTAATCCTGCGTGTATCGTAATAATACATATTAATGTTATATATTAGATTGTGTATAATTCAATTAATGTACATTATAAGTAATAATTTTCCAAGAGAATTAAAACTATTCATATTTTTTTTTTTTTGTTAATATTTCTTTAATAATATCGCTTGCTTTTTCGCCAATCATGATAACTGGTGTATAAGTATTTCCATTATCAATTATAGGCAATATTGGTAAGTCTGAGCCATTCAACATGTTTTTGTTTGGTTTTACGTGAAAAAATATTTAAATTTGATTATTATATCGTATGTAGAGACCGAAATGTATTTCTGTTTTTCTAGATATATGCCGAATTTTAATCATTCTGAAAGAAATCGTGCTAAATCTTATTCACGTGTCGGTATAGGATTAATATTTCTCATCCGGTATTTCATTATACGTCCTCGAAGAATTGTAATTTATCTCTTCGTTTTTTTTCGTATACTAACGTTTTGAAAACAACTATAAAGATCAAAGAAAGGGAATAAAATAATTTCATTAGTGAATGTTTCTATGTTCCGCAATTGATCTTATCCATATTATTTATATCCATATCTAGAATTGCTTTGAAATTACCAAAATAATTTTTTCTTATTCTTCATAATAAAATAGTAAATTAGTCAACTTCAAATTAGTTAACATCATAAATATATAAAATTATATAATCATTGGTAAATAAATTAATTTTGATTTTTATTGTTATAAATAAATTTTTTTCTTCTTATTATTCAAGAGAAAGGTTTCTCAAGAATATATGAATGGCTGTAATATAAAATTAACTTCATCAGAAATTGTTGACATATGATAATATTGCCGCGTGGTTACAAAAACTAATATATCTAAAAGAATTATAATATTATATAAAATATTATATAAAAAAAATTTCTGTAGTATTTATGATACTTCCTTTGCATTTGTTAAAAACTTGTTCCTTTTACTTCTTGCAGTAAACAGGAAGGAAGCTATAATTTGAAATACTGCCTTTTTTCCTTTTATTTATGCAAATTGAGTTTCTTCAATATAAAATTCACTGAAAACATAAAAATAATATTTCATTTTCTTAAATAACATTTTATAAGAATTTTTCTTACTTTTCTGTCTGATAACGTATGAATAAGTTCTAGTATGAAAACATTTTAGATACTTGCTGTCCTGTTTAATTGCTCGATAGAGGAGTATGCTGTCAATTCTCACATTATTCTTACATAGGTAATGCAATAATTTGTAGGTGTTAAATTTATTTTGTAGATAATGAAATAATATCTCGGAAAGATATTTATTCTAATCATTAACACTTTAAGGATCCACATTACGCTTTAAAACTTTCGCTAATCGCCACACATGTTCTCTTGTATATTAGTAAATGTTTTTTGCTCATTGTCAGTTATTTTCTCAATCGAAATTTTCTATGAAATATATGTTATATGTATATTTAATGATTAAAAATATAAAAAGAAATTTTTATCAAAAATGATTAATAAAATGATTAATAAATTGATTTATGTTTAGAAAAAAAAATATCCACAGAAATCGAAATCGAGAAAATAACGAGAGAAATGTTTTTCGTTTCTTTATTTTTCTTCCGATCATAAAATGATTACGTAAATTATGTAAAATCATTAATGTAAACTACATTTCTCTTGAAATACATGCTGTATTTTAATAGACATCAAATAAATGGAATGTTGTCGAATATTTTTTGTATAAATTTCTTTTTTCTTTCTTGCTCTGAGATAGAATTGATATTTCTCATGTGTACTCAGTTGTATTTAAAGAGTTATAATATATATATATATATATATATATATATATATATATATATGTATATATATATATGTATATATATATATATGTATATATATATATATATATATATATACATATATATATATTCTTTTTTGTTTCAAACGAAACGAAAACGAGGTAAAATAATATTTATTAATTTTATTTGTTAATTTCATTATGTTCCGTAATAAATATTAATTTTATCAATATTATCGTATTCAAAGAAATTCACTTGAGTAGAAGATATTTCATCTGTAGTCTTTTTCAGATGGAGAAGACAGTCCAGTTATAAGAAAGTTATCCATTCGAGATTACATTGGAAAAATAATCTATTAGAAACTTTCCGTGTTTTTGATCTTAAAAGAAAGAGCTTGTTAAGATATTTAAATGATAATAATATTATAGCAGTTTCATCCGAAACTTTTAACAGTATTCCATTGTCATTAGGAAAGGTAATATCTCTAAAATAGTTTCTTTGAAGAAGGGAAAAAAGGAAAAAGCCTTTAGCGTTACTGATACGTCGATTACACTTGTTGAAAATTTACTTTATTTTTTTTGGTTTTTACAGTAGCGTACAAAGAAATAAAGCAATATCTCTATTTTTTCTTCCTTTATTTCGTACAAACTGATTTTCTTCGTTATGTATACACTGAATGTACATTGAGTATGTTATGCGTACATTAAATATACGTTGAGTGTATGCTGAAAACATAAAAATAATATTTAATTTTCTTAAATAATGTTTTGTAAGAATTTTTCTTACTGCTCTTTCTAATAACGTGTGAATAAGTTCTAGTACGAAAAACTCGTTGATACCTGCTGCACTTTTTAATTGCTTGACAGAGTAGTATGCTGCCACGTTATTTCTACATAGATAATCCAATAATTTGTAGGTGTTATGTTTATTTTGTAAATAATGAAGTAAAATCTCAAAAAGATTTTTATTCTAATCACTAAGATTTATTTACGCGTACTGACATCAACTCTCCGGCGTACAATAAATTTTATTAAAATTTGATTAAATTGTTCAATCATATAATTATACAGAGATTGATAATAAATATTCTGTTATGTGAAGAATTTGTGGCAATTGGTAATATTATCATACTGCGATATCTTCAAAAATTCTATGTTCGTAGGAATGATAGGTTTTGCGCAGATAGAAAAAAAAATTAATGAGAGCGTTGATTTTCTCCAAAATTGTATTAAGAATATTATTTCACAAAATTTATTTAGACAATTGTTGTTAAAAAGTTTTGATTTAGTAGTAGAACTTAACAAAATCGAAATTCAAAACATTGCAACTGTACGGTCAAATAAATTGAAAATTGTTCATTCTGATGAAGTAGCGAAAAAGAAAAATAGTTAAGAAGAATACTGCATAAATATAGATGGTGTGACTGTAATAAATATATATTATAGAGCACAGCTAACAAGTACATTGAAGAGATGGGACAAAAAGACTTAGGAAAGTACTGATCTTGAAACCCCAAATATAGTAGCGTTATAGAATAAATTCACGGGTGAGATAAACTTAGACGACTGATTAATTGCTTTGTACCGGATAAAAATTCATTCAAAAAGATGATATCATTGATATTGGCGTCTATTATTGAATTTAAAAATAATACATGCTTGACATTTATATAAGAAGAGATTGCCTATTATGTAATATATAATCATCAAGATTATAAAACAGAAATTGCTTCTTGTTTATGTTAAGAATGATAAGGATGTAAAAGGGAGAACATTCTATCTTAGGTAAAAAATTACAAAACAAGAAAAAAGGAAAAGAATCAAGAGGGCCAACTATAGTTATACATTGTAAAGTCCCAAGATGTAATGAATGTTAACTCCAAATGGGAAACATGCAAACAAATTGGATTGTCAAGTTTTTAAAAATATAAATTATCTCTAATAATTTACAGTTAATTTGTTTACGATAGCTAAATGATATAACTAGATTTTGATTAAGCACATATTAATTTTATAGAACATCATTCTTACAACAGAAAAAGAAATAGGAAACGTAAGCCTTAAAAACAAGTTATTAAAGCTTTCTATCTATTCTCGTAATTATTTTATATGACGTAATAATAAAAATATTTAATTTACTTTCATTCGATGAACTATCCTAAATATCTAATATTGATTGAAAGAACCTGAGATAGTCTCATTAGTTCTCTTTCGTCTAAACATCCAATCCTTCTTTATGAGATCCGAACCCTTTTCACCAATCATTATCACAGGTGCATTGATATTGCCATTAGTGATCGTGGGCATGATCGAAGCATCGATCACTCGAAGTCCTTCTACTCCATATACTTTTAAAGAGGGATCTACGACCGCCATTGGATCGGATCGTGGACCCATTTTTGCAGTACAGCTCATGTGATAAATTGTCATTGTGTATTGACGAATTGCACATTCCCAATATTCATCTGTGAACATTGGAAGATGTTTACAATTTGGCAATGGCTTACTGTGAAATCTTGCCCCTAATCTTTTTAGGCTGCTCGTCTCAGTAAATGCAATTGCTGCTTTGACTCCTTCACGTAAAACATTAACATCATCAGGATTAGTTAAATAATTGTGATACATTAACGGATAATCGAGCGGATTTTTCGATCTTAATTTCACATATCCTCGAGATTTAGGTCTAAGCAACATTGGTAAAATGTTGAAACTATCATGATTAATGATTTCTCCATAGACTTCATTGTAAAATTCGGTGGATAAGCCATGGGCGATAATTGTTTGTTTTCCACCGATATTAATTGAGGTAGAAGTAATCATAAATTCTATATCTGGCCAATCATCGGTTTGGTTGGCATATTTAGTGGGTAGAAAGCCTACTACTTCGAGACCAATACTCGAAGTTAGAGGACCGTTCTCAGTAATTGCATATCTCAATGCTGTGTTTATATTCACTAAACGAGTGAATACCAAGCTGATCTTGTGTTCGATGAGGAAGATTAGACCACCAACGGCTATATGATCTTGAAGATTCTGTCCAACGCCAGGTGAATCTTGAATCACTGGAATACCAAGATCTTCGAGATGACTTTTAGCACCAATTCCAGACAGCATCAATAATTGAGGAGTATTTATAGCACCTGCCGAAAGTATAACTTCTTTCTTCGCAAATACGGTCTCAACATGACCATTCCTAATAAATTCTACACCGTATGCTCTTTTGGTACTTGGATCTATGAGAACACGCGTAACATGACTCCATAACGATAGGTGAAAATTCTTTCGAAATTTGATGGGACGTACGAATGCCTTGGCTGCACTACATCTAGCGCCCCTGCGCATTGTATATTGAAAGAATGCGAAGCCCGTTTGTTGTTGGCCATTTACATCCACGATATTATAACCCATTTCTTCTGCAGCTTGAAGATAGGCTGGACCCAGAGGCGTATTATAAGGACAGTCTTGAATAGTTAAATAACCACCTGTAAAATCCATTTTTGCATGAGAATGAATGGATGACTCAATATCACTTGTAATGTCTTGTTGTTTCAAAAAATTAATCATCTCAATTTTCTTAATTTTATGAACAATCAAAATCGTAGCTCACCTGTGCTATGGTATTTGGTGTTCCGCGCTAAATATGGGTTTCTTTGATCCTGTGACTTTTTAAAGTATGGGAGTACATCGTCGTATCCCCAACCAGGGTTACCAAAGCTTTCCCATTGATCAAAGTCACGACGATTCCCACGAATATACAACATGGTATTAAGTACGCTTGAACCACCTAATACCTAAAATCAATCCAATAAGATAATATAATAATCTTAAGTAGTTTTTTCGAGATTAAGCTGAAGGATTGTAATGATCTGTGATTGTATTAATTTATATAATATATATTATTGCATTTTATTTTCGTAGGTTTGGCCTAACATAGACATTCCGTTTGATCAATAAATAAATGAATTATTAGATAATTTAATTAAATATGGGTTAGAAGAAATACTCATGTATTTATTCTATAGTATCTTCAACTATTTGTTGTTTTTTTTTTAATTTCTTAAAGCTGTTACGTTATATTAGCAACCATCTGTTTGTTTTTATTTGTAAATGACCGTATCCACGAACGAGTTTCTCATATTTACCGCGTCGGATTACTTTCTCTTCGACCTGATTATATCTTACGTATATTTGACCTTCTTTACATTATAATTCTTTGGTAATCTAACATTCTAGTAGTCTTCATTATGAAATAATTGTTATTGTTGTCGATTTCTTTAACTATCTTGCATCGCGGCTAAATCAAAGGAGTTACCTTCCCTCGGGTCCAACAACTACGTTGATCATTCATCGCTTGGCAAGCACTATCTTGTGGTTGAGCTCTATACTTCCAATCCAATTTGCTTTTGTGTAAATAGAGAGACAAAATCGGTACGTCCGTAATCTCGGTTTCGTGACCACCCGCTTCTAAAAGAAGTACACTCCATTCTGGATTCTCTGTTAATCTGTTAACAACAACGCTACCAGCTGAACCGCCACCGACCACTACGAAATCGTATTCTTTTAATAGATTTTTTGTGACTCGTGGTTGATTTTCAGGATCCATTAGATAATAATTGAAGTAAGTTAAGGCTGATATTAGAATCGGTATGATACTCAGTTTTCCGATACCGAGCCCAAACATATTCGTTTGTATCGCTGCTGCTGCAGTTGTCATAATGTTCGTCATCATTGATCTTGACTTTTAATTAGTTAGGCCTTTATTTTCCTCTTCGATTAAAGCGAAACTGTCCATATACTGTAACACCGATCAGTCAAGGACGTTCGGTGAAACCATATGTAACTTTTATTAGTTACTTCTCCTTTTCGTTTATGAGTTCGAATGATCGAGCTTGGGTATTTAAACAAGATTGTTACGTAAATCATTGTACTATCATATTCGATTTTTGTTGAAGTTACTTTTATTCTTAATTAACCGTAATTATTTTTTCAAGACCATATATTTCTTAAGTATTCGAAAAATATTTCGTCATTACATTCAACGAGAACATTTTCATTGATTTCCTTTTCTCCTTAATAACGATACTCTCGTAACGATATTCTAGCAGAATATTGTAACTTATTTGAAACAAGTTGATGGGATAAGATCTGGTATACTGAAATTCAACAAATTATATATATATTTTAGCTTAGATTATTGTTTTCTAAGTGAAATGTTATTTTTATTTGTTACATATTTTAAATTTAACTTTGTCTGAAACATCCTTTTTTCGTAATTCTGTTTTCTTCGGATTTTAAGAATTTTTTTTTATTTTTTATGTATTATTTTCGTATCATATGTAAACAAATATGGATATCGTGATACTTTAGTGATGACTGATAAGTATGTAATTAGTGTAGTTACTTGATTATAACAACGTATAGCACATCATCGTGGCTTATTTAATTAAATAAATAAAATTTAAATGATTTATTGACTTTCATTTTTCTTAAACAGTAATTAAATCTGTAATATTTAATTTTGATATTTAACACCAAATTTTGATGCTAAACTTATCGGATTTATTTGACGTTTATTTATTGTATAAATTCACATTCGAATTTAGTTAAATATAATAATTCATTAATCGTAATGACAGTGTCTATTTTATATCACATTTGATTGTTTTCAGTTAATTTTTTATATATTTTTGAAACAGATGTCTGTTTGCAATTGTTGACTTTTTTGACTTTTCTTATGAAAACGAGTAAACCAACAATTTTTACTGAATTTATTTTTGCTCATAGTTTTTGAAAAAAATTCCTTATTTTTTTGTTCATAAATATGAAAGATATATTTTTTGTATTGTACGTCTTGCAATCATATAAGAGTGCTGTGTAATGTTTAATTTTTATAGAACGTATAAGCTTTGAAATATATCTAATTTTTAAAACTATATTTAAACTATACAGAAATTTTATGGTATACTTCTCAAATCTGAATGAAAGTAAAAAATAGTAGGTGAATAATATTTTTAATATTCTATGAGGGATCAAAAACTATTTCGTAGGTTTGTAATATATATAAATTTTATACAAAAAACAAGACAAAAATATGAAAACCATTTTACAAAATTATTCATTTATATTTTTCAATAAATATCAGAAAATAATTCTGAAAATATGATCTACTAAAATAGAGTAATTATTAGGACGAATTACAAATTATTTTGATCCTCTTTATGAATCTATTTTTAAACATAGGTATATGTATTTTAAATAAATATTCTTAAAGATCACCGACTCGCTGCAGAAATTTAATTGTTTATGAGAAATTTGATAAATTTTATATTTTTGAAAGCGACGTCAAACAACAAATTTTGACATATAGTAAAAAATAGTATTTCTATTTCTCAGATTTTAGGAACTCAAAAAAGATGCAAGGTTTGCGCGAGAAAATAGTGAGAAGTGAAATTACATGAGAATATAGAATATATCTTATCTTATATTGTAGAGTATTTTAATATTGATTACGTCGTAAAGTTATTATAGATATATATATTATTAGATTGTTAATATCATCAATAAAATATTCTGCAAATTTCACGGGGATTTTGTCAATATGTTGGCTATGTCTACACGTAATCATATTTATTCTTTACATTAAGTAAATGTAATTGGCTTGAAATATGCTAACAAAATGAAATCAACTAGATTCTTTGTTGCAATTTCAATTGGAAAGTTGAAATCAAAAAGAAAAACCAACACCCATTGATATATTACTTGATATATTGCAAGCGCTAGTAGCAAATGTAAAATATTCTTTATTTGTATAAAAAATTTCCATATATTTTAACAATTTTTGTACTTGTTTTTGTAATTTTTTGTAATTGTTTAAAAAATGTTTCTTTTTTTTCATTGTAGGCGCATTCAAACGTATAATTTTTCTTGATGAATTTATTCAATATATTTGTGATGATTTTGGAAAAAAGCAAAAGAATTACGAAAAAAAGGATGTAATTCTAAGGATGATTTTCGGACTGTATGAATGAAAAGGAACAGCAAAGAAATAAAATTACATTTAAAAGGTAATATGCTTAAATATTGACAAAGGTTTGAATTTCCCGTTTTGGGATGTTCCCTTGTCAAGTAGTAAATTTCATAGTATCTAACTTGCGATTTCGTAGTTAGAGCTGCTAAATGGCATCTAATGCAATTTCAGAACACCGAAGTATTGCGTAATTTCTTTAAGTGAACGTAAGTGGTGACCGATGTAATGTAGTATAATTGATTCTACTTCGTGCTTTTCCTTTCGAAAAAGAATACTCACCAATAATACGTTTGCTTTATGTTATAGCGATCACTTAAAAATTAGAACATAAACAGTGCCTTCCCAAAATGTCTTCGTTAGAAATATCACAATGTACGTCATTTATCGATATGTCTCGACATTATTTTTCCGTAATTGTAAATCAATTAATTGTAAACGCGATATTTATTAGTATAGTTTCACATACATTCATTCTGAGACGGATCGTGTAGCTCACTGTGTCAGAGAAAGCGATAGACTGAAAGTTCGAATGTGGCGATGAAACATATAAACCTTGACTACCACCACCTTAATATGACGAAATTACTTTAGCCACCATTTTTAAATTCTTTCTTATTAAGCCTATCACGAGCCTTTTAGTATATATTTATTCTTTGCCTCTAACCCTCTAGCTGCTCATTAATACATAGGCTTGGCATGGTAATTGTGATATAGATCAAGGTGCATAATTATTCATAATGATTTTTTATTATATTTTTTTTTTCTAGAGTCTTTTTACTTTTACTTTTACGTTTAATCCATTTGCAATGATTTCATAACAAACTTGAAATATTCCTTGCCGGTAAAAATCGCACGATAATGACATTTGCTCACTTAAGTGAAAAGAAAGTCTCCATTCTACTTGGTATTTTATAAGATTTCGCCAATGTTCGTATATTTAGATTTTAGGTCAGACGAGAAATTTATTCTCTTACCGTATTATCAAAATGCATATCTTATCGACATTTATAACAATTTTTGTTTAGAACTTAAGAGTTGTAATTATCATATGAATCGACATTTTAGATCTATTTTAAATTTATAATGATTAATATAGAACTATCTAATCGTTTTTATTTAGAGTTGTTATTTATTAATATGTATAATGATGAAATGACTGTTAAAAAATAAAATAACTTAAATCGTCCATAATAAGTATGATCTTTTTTTTCACGTAATGTAGGTTAATATAAATTTTATCAGTTTATTCTACATAAAACGTTAATCAATTTCCATTATGTATGTCAAGATAAAACTTGTTTTTTACGTATTTCTTACAAATAATTTCTCTTTCATAGTTAGTTTCGAAATCAACAAACATATGTACTCGCATTGGACTTAATCGATCATTTCTGTTCTTTGCTCTTTACCTCTTTCATCAGAGGTTACAAATTATTATTAGTTATATACTTATTAGTTATATACAGGGACATTTGTTAATATTTAAATAATTTAACATAAATACATATTTAACTCAATAGAATACATAGTCAGAAAATTAGCATTCATTCATAATTATAATTTATATCAATATAGTGTATGTGTGTACTCATCCATTAACATTATTTTAATAGTTTTCTTATTAAGTGAATTATCGTTGGGAACTAGGATAAAATCATGCGATTATGAAGCAAGCAGTTTATTATGTGAATTTTATATAACACACAGATACAATACGTAATATGTACAATTGGGAAGATCGTTATTTTTTATCCATTTTAGTATATGAAATAATGAAAATATTTTCTATCTCAATTGTATATAGTACTCGATGCGTATAATTTTTCATTATAAAGATATCAAAATCAATGTAAATATAAACTATATAGGAACGCCTACGAATAGGCAACAATATATACTCCGGTGAAACTTTGAAGGCTCAATCTATAACCCGCGACGTAATATTTATATAATCGAATATAAATTATTTATATCGATCCCATATATTTATAATGATCCCATATACCAAAAAACAATTCAAAGAATATTTTTTAATATTACGATAAAAACGATTTGTTTCTTTTTTTACGTTATAAAAGAAAAAGAAGCTTCCAATTAAGGAAGCATCGTGGCTTATAAGAACATAAAGTTTACTTTACGACTTTCAATTATTTTTTTTTAGCTCATTCTTTCCGAGCCAATTCGTTTTTATCATATCTGCTCCTTTCTCGGCTATAATCAACATTGATGCGTTTGTATTTCCACCGATAATTTGCGATATTGTAGAAGTATCGAAGATTCTTAATCTTTAAATGCCTTATACCTTAAGACGAGGATGGACGACTGCTGTAAAATCACCAAAATGACTCAGCATAGCTGTTTCAATCGAATAATAAAGTGTTTCTGTTGTTTTATTTAAATTACAATCCTAATATTCCATAGAATGGGGCTTAGTGTTATGACAATTGTATATCGTAATGACGTAAGGTTATTTCATTGTTTTGGAAAGTTTTGAACATCACCAATGACCTAAAAAAATCAAGAAACTTTAGAAGTATCTTTCTGTCCGATTTATAACAAAATAATTTGCATAGATCTTAATTGGATCGTTTGTTTGCGAACAAAAAGCTCCCGCTAAGTTCATTCATAACAATAACGTTATTCTAAACTTTTTTAAAATAAAAATGGCGGGCTTAATCCTCTAAAATAATGGCGAATCATATTTCTTACATTGAATTATTTGGAACTTATATAACAATATGCAATTAATTCGTTTACTATTAATAAATGATGGAAAACTAGTCTTATTTCAGCGCATACTTTAAATATATATATATATATATATATATATATATATATATATATATATATATCTTTAAAAAGCAAGTTTCTAGAATTTTTAATAGTACACAATTATTTTATACTACGTATTTGAAAAATGTATGAATTACTTTCATTCGATGAACTATCCAAAATATCTAATATTGATTGAAAGAACCTGAGATAGTCTCATTGCTTCTCTCTCGTCTAGACATCCAATCCTCCTTTATGAGATCCGAACCTTTTTCACCAATCATTATCACAGGTGCATTGATATTTCCACTAGTGATCGTAGGCATGATCGAAGCATCGATCACTCGAAGTCCTTTTACTCCATATACTTTTAAAGAGGGATCTACGACCGCCATTGGATCGGATCGTGGACCCATTTTCGCAGTGCAGCTCATGTGATAACTTGGCATGGTAACTTGACGAATTGCACATTCCCAGTACTCGTCCGTGAACATAGGAAGATGTTTACAATTTGGCAATGGCTTACTGTAAAATCTTGTCCCGAATCTTTTCATGCTACTCGTTTCAGCAAATGCAATTGCTGCTTTGATTCCTTCTCGTAAAACATTTACGTCTTCAGGATGCGTTAAATAATTGTGATATATTAATGGATAATCGAGTGGATTTTTCGACCTTAATTTCACATTTCCACGAGATTTAGGTCTGAGTATTATTGGTAAAATGTTAAAACTATCATGATTAATGATCTCTCCATACATTTCATTGTTAAAATTATCCGTTAGACATAAAGAATCTTTAAATAGTTCTCCCATGGTACTAACCGAGGCAGAGGAAATCACTAATTCTACATCGGGCCAATTGTCCGTCAGATTGGCATATTTGGTGGATAGAAAGCCTACTGCATCGATACCAATACTCGAAGTTAGTGGACCGTTTTCGGTAATTTCATATTTCAATATTGAGTTTATATTTAATATGTGATTATAAACAAGGCTGATCTCGTGGTCGATAAGGAAGGTTAGACCAATAATGGATATATGATCTTGAAGGTTCTGTCCAACACCAGGTGAATCCTGAATCACTGGAATATCAAGATCTTCGAGGTGATTCTTTGCACCGATTCCAGACAGCATCAATAATTGAGGAGTATTTATAGCACCTGCCGAAAGTATAACTTCTTTCTTTGCAAATACGGTCTCAACACGACCATTCCTAATAAATTCTACACCATATGCTCGTTTGGTACTTGGATCTATGAGAATACGCGTAACATGACTCCATAACGATAGGTGAAAATTCTTTCGTAATTTGATGGGACGTACGAATGCCTTGGCTGCACTACATCTAGCGCCCCTGCGCATTGTATATTGAGGCAATGCAAAGCCCGTTTGTTGTTGGCCATTTATATCCACGATGTTATAACCCATCTCTTCTGCAGCTTGAAAATATGCTGGACGCAGTGGTGTATTATAAGGAGACTCTTGAATAGTTAAATAACCACCTATAAAATCCATTTTTGCATGAGAATGAATGAATGACTCAATATCACGTGTAATGTCTTGTTATCTCAAACAATCAAGCATTTCAATTTTTCGAATTTTATGAACAATCAAAATCCTGTCCTACCTGTGTTATGGTATTTGGTGTTCCGCGCCAAATATGAGTTTGTTTGGTTTTGTGACTTTTTAAAGTATGGGAGTACATCGTCGTATCCCCAACCAGGGTTACCAAAGCTTTCCCATTGATAGTAATCACGACGATTCCCACGAATATACAGCATAAAATTAATTACACTTGAACCACCTAATACCTAGAATCAAGGGAATAATATTATGATGTAATAATATTAAGTTATTTTTACAAATATAAGCAAAGTTGTTTCAGTGGCTTATGATTGCTTTTGTTATTGATATATTCGCGGCCTGTTCTACTATATCATTTTAAATCCTTTCGCTGAGGACCGACAAGGTTGTCCTGTGTCAAATCAAAGTCTATATTCATTTTAATAGTAGAACCCTGAGAATTGTAGGTATTGATAGTTATAAATCGTGTTCAGGTAGCTGTTTAATTCAAAGGATCCAACATGGATGTTTCGTTTGATCAATGAATGCATTAATAGCATATCTACCGCATTATGATTTATAGACATTAGAAGATTATATATAATAAGTTTAATGCAAATTCATTTCATTCTGGTATCTTCAATTATCTGATACTTTTTTTTATTCCGTTATGTTATATTAGTAACCATCCATTTATTCTCCTTTGAAAACGACCTTATTTACGAAAGTATTTGAAAATTTTGTTCATCATTAAAGTATTATTTTCTCTTTAAACTGATTGTATTTTTCGTATACTCGAAACTTTTTGTATTACGACGCACAATAACTTAACATACCAGCAATGTAATTATAAAATAATTGATATTGTTATTAAATTCTTCATCTTACGGCACAGATGAATCAAAGAGCTCACCTTTCCACGGGGCCAACAACAACGTTTGTCTTTCATCGCTTGACAAGCACTATCTTGGTTTTCAGGCCTATATTTCCAATCTATTTTGGTATTTTGTAAATAGGTAGAGAACATCGGTACGTCCGTAATCTTGTTTTCGAAACCACCTGCTTCTAAAAGAAGAACACTCCATTCTGGATTCTCCGTTAATCTATTAACAACAACGCTACCAGCTGAACCACCACCGACCACTACGAAATCGTATTCCTTTAATAGATTTTTCATGACTTTTGGTT